ATATACAACATTTATGGACAAAACACGGAATATAAAACACAGATTAACATTTTTTATAGGGTAATATAACGTTTTCATATATTTTAAAAAGGTTACTAGCTAGTTAATTGGTCGGTCGGTCAGTCGGTCGGTCAGTCGGTCGGTCATTAACCGTCGGTTATAACCGCGGTCGGTCGGTCATTGAGCAATAACCGGGCAGTTATTGACCGTGACCGACCATGACCGACCGTTGCCATCCCTACCTGTGACCTATTGGTTGATCAGGTGGGTGCGTTATAACGCACATATGCTACTATACATTATACAAACCATAAATTTATTAAACAAATTTATTTTTTAAAAAAATCCTTATGAATATATTGGCTAAAAAATTATTACAAAGAATAAATAGTTTACCAATAGCAATGTAATGTGTGCATTATTTTTAAATTTAATTAATAATGATGCAAATGTGAAACTACACAGAGGATATATAAATAAAAACAGTAAAAGAAAACACTTTTTCATTCTGTTATTATTAATAAAGTTGAATTGATTTAAAAGATGCCTTGATATATAGTTAGTGTTGGCCAGAGGTAGATTGTCAATAAATTATATGAAAATGTTTGCTATGTACATAAATACAATTTTATTAATTTATAAAACTGTTATTGATGTTAGTCGGATTACGGTTTTTTTTTTTTTTGTGATAATTTTTTATGCGTAAGAAAAATCATCAATGTAATATATTACGTGTTTTTTTTTCAACTGGTGAATAACAATACTTTTATAAACATAAGTCACGATAAGTAAATTGGGATTGCAAATCTCTTGACTCATCATTATGGAGAGGCGTATAAGTATAAAAGGAAAACTACGGGCACAATGATGATTAGATATTGGTGAAAACAAAATTTCGAAAAAATTCAGGGAAGATTTGCAGAGTAATGATGCCTGACGAAACTATTTGCGATGACGAAATGGTTTCGTCTGACAAAACTTGACGATTTGACGTCACTACCGACGATTGACGAAACTCTTGACGAAATTAATTTAGCCACTAAAATATAAAAATGCAGCTGACCATCTTTCAACAAGCACCTTTATAACGTCGGTCCTTTCTTCGTCAGACCCATCGGATACATCCGGGTGAGTAATGCAAATTATCGGGTAATGTCGGATAAATCCTGTTTTTAAATTTTCATATAAAATTTATGTTTCGTCATGAGTTTCTTCATTCGTCATGAGTTCCGTCATTCGTCACGAGTTACGTCATTCGTCATTCGACATGAAGTTGCCTGACGAAATGGTTTCAACATTCGTCATAACGAAAGGTTTCGTCACTCGTCAGGCATCATTATTGCAGAGATAAAAAAATATGCATTTATAGAGGTCAATTATATACTTGGGCCAGAATCTGAGCGTGCACTTAGAGGTCTGACTGTATTTACATTTTCGCACTATCAACAGTTTAGTTATGTCTAGCACGTATAAAACTGCGTACATCTTTAACCTGCACCTTAATTCGAATAATGTAAATAAATACTAGGAATCAGGATCTGATAAACGTCCGAAGCATGCATTGTTACCCTGACCGACGATCATCATGGGACCCATACTATCTCGAATTTCATTGGTAGTTTCCGCCGGACATTGCATAGATGTCAATAAAGTTTTTGCAAATTAAATTCTCGAACCACATAAGTAAAAATTGGGGCGCATTATTTTGAAACCATTAAGTTAATCCTAAAGAAGCTAATTTCTAAAAAATTTTCATGTTGTTACTTTCGTGAAAATACAGTACAGTCAGACCTCTCTAAATACACTCTCCCTAAGTGCACACCCTCTCTAAATGCACGCTCAGATTCTGACCCACATATATACTTGACCTCTATAAAAAATGCATTTTTCATATAATTCTCTAAATGCCCTCATTAAAGTGTGGTCCCAAGGGCATACAATTAGAGAGATCTGACTATAATACGAAAATATATGGTATAAAACTCGGAATCAATAAATGATATAATTACATATTTTTTATAGTATGCATAGGGTGAAAAGAATTAGAAAATTTAAAGTGGCTGATTTTAATCAACATTTGACTTAAAATGGATAGTAATTGAAACTAAATTTCAGGGGTCAAATTGAAGAAAGAAAATAAAGATGTTTTTAATGGATCTTTCAAAAAAGTTATTTCAGATTGGATTTGAAAGTTACAGTGTTTCAATAACAATATTATGCTAAAAAAACTAGCTTTAAAACTCTCAAAATGTTTCTAAAAAAAAGGTAAATTATTTCAAGGAATGTGCTGATATGTAAACCTACTACAAATTAAAAAAATAAAACATCAAGTACAAAACAATAATGCATTGAAAGCTTATTCATTTGATTCAATAATGAATTGAAAGATTATTCACGATTCAATAATGCATTGAAAACTTATTATTCCCATTGGTACGTTTGTTCGAGTGTTAATTTGTAAGACAGAATTGATATAATAGTTTGCACCAGAGTAAGTATCAAGATAATAGTAGCAGAAATATTAACAATTCTTATCCACACATTTCCTCCTGAAATTATATATAACTGCAAAATAGTGTTGTTTTTCAATGCTTCCACGGTTGACACAAGACTTTTAACAGTCATAGTGCCTTCAAGAGTTGAATTATAGTGACTTACTTCAGAAATTTTGCACATAATATCGTGAAATCGTGCAAAATTCATTGGCCCACTATAAATCATGCCAAGCTGATATGCAAGATAGAAATCTTCTTTGCTTTTGATTGCACCCGTATAAAAGCAAGTTACAGTACCAACTATCGGTTCGCATTTTGATCTCATTTCAAGCATTACAATATTCCACAAAGTTTCAATCCAATGTGGATGTATGTAAAGCTTCGTGATTGTCACTGTTTTTTTTTTCTTATCAAACTCAAATACGAGTCTGGAATCCTCTGAAGGAATGAACTTAATAGTATTTCTATGCATTTCTGTTAAACTTGGTAAAATGGCAGGATCAAACCGATGGGATGCATGCTGTTGAATCGTATCAATACCACCCATATTTTGGTAAAGCAATTGAGCAAATGACATATTTACATCTAACGATGTTATCTCGAATGTCGTGTGATTAGTGCCAAAGGGTGTCAAGTTACTTGCTATGGAATTGATCATAATATGAAGCGTTATTTTGTTGTCTATTACCTTATTATCAATCCTTTTATTATATTCTTCAAAAAAGTTGGTATCATTTAGAAATCTTAAATGACTTATTATTTGAGATAACTTAACTTGGTTACCAGCTCTAGAAAATATTCCAGCATTTAATACTGAAGTATTGATGCCAGATAATTTATATGGCCTTAAGTCAATCATTCCATATTCGTAGGAATTAATAATTTCAGTAGAGAATGCGGCAAATAATTTTGCTAATTTGGATATGTCTAATGATAAATGTTCAATTATCTGATCCTCTAATCTATCCATGTCGTCATCATTGTTTATATTCTCGTTACTGCTAATTGTGTTAATAATATGTACTTCAAATATTTTTGACATTTTGATCATAATTTTGTCAAATTTATCTGGATCAAGTTTTTCTTTACCTATTATTTTGTGCAAGAATTTACAAGTCAACTGTCGTATATCAACTACATCGTATTTGTTTTTATTAACAAACGGATAATTATCAAAGCTAAAATCGCCAAAAATCTTTTCCTCGACAGTTTCTTCAAATATGTCTCTTTCCATTTTGCCAAAAATTTATCATGTTGATTGGTTTGTAGGGAGAGAAAATATATTTATAATTAAATTCCGCCGCATAGCCTTATCATATGTTGCGTGCGCACACATGTACCTATATACTGTACATGTATAAACAGGAAACAATAAGGCTTATTATAAACATAAATATTATGATATGTATGAGCATATCCAAGCTTACAAAATGCTCTTGCTACGTATGCTTCGATTGTCATAAATACATAGACAAATTTCTAGTGCTAATGCTTAAATTAGTGATAAATAAAGAGATGGCCGTTTTTATTTGCAAGAATTCTTTCTATGCGTACAATTCATTAGATAAGACGAGGTCAGCGTCCTTTGGACAACAAATATAGAATATTCTATCAACGACTTAGACTACAAGCCTCCATATCATGTTATCGTGAGTCATCACAATAAATACGATTCTATATAAGAATATATTCAAAAATTACATAAGTCTTAATTGAATATCAATATTTGGACATTCAAATACTACTCGGCTGATTACTTTGACGAATCCAAATTCTAATAACTTTAATATATAAAGGCTTACTGTTAAATAATGTAGCGAAAATCATTATATTTATAATAAATTCGTCCTTTCCTAAAATCCAATCCAAGATCTTAAACTTTAAAAAATATTATTACTTTATTAGCATCATTTTTGTTTGGTATAAGGGTTGTAGAATGAAAACCTGTAACATTTCATTATTGCTAGTTACAGGTTCACTCTGCAACATTCGTATCTTCAATTTAGTGAAGATTTCTTTTCTCTTGCATGGTTCAAGAAGACGCTATTAGGACTGTAAAACTTACAATAATTTCAAAATTTTGATGTAACTTATGATGTAACTTGCATGCAATTTTCATATATTCATTTAGTTAAAAATTCCAAAATCATGTAAGTTTACAACACTAGTCGCTATTAAGTTAGCAGTTTCACTTTGCTGTAGAAGGGTTGAGACTCAAATATTTGTTTAATGATACGGAATAATCTTGTGATAAACAAAATTTGGATTATCAGGATTAGCCCAAACAAAACAAACTCGAATCTTAACTGTGTAAACAAGCTATAGTTTAAACAAACAAACCAATTCTCTGTTCTATTTTTAAGCCATAGATTTTACAAATTTTTTAAAAAAATCCAATAATCCCACATTTTATCTCGTAAATGGCGCGTATAAATCATCTAATCACGACATAAGTATGCCGTTCAGAATTTGCCTAACATTGAATTGTCAAGTTAACAATTCACAGATTATAGATCATTTATGATCTGCACACAATTCCCCATTTAGCAGTATTGCTACTAGCCTCAAGGTTAATACATTTTAATTAGCCTTAGCCCTTGTCTAATTAGCATTAGCCTTAGCCTTTAGACTATATATTTAAGATTGTTTTAGCCTCATGTCTAATTAGCCATGTCTAATTAACCATGTCCAATTAGCCGGCTAATAACAACACTGCCATTTAGGGCTTGTCCAATCATG